GGAACTTTTCCAAATCAAAATAAGTTCCCCCACATTATGTGCTTTCAAGCCAAATATGATCGTAAGATGCCAAAATTGAGTCAACCCAAGCCAAAATCGAGCCAGCAGGGGCCAAAGAAAATAGAACCGAACCCTTCCACAGCTATTGAGCAGGGGCAGGAATGAACACCACAACAGACTCTCGGGTAGGAGCTAAGACAAGCAAACCGAGCTCCCAAATCAAGCCAAAACCGAGCCTAGCAGGGCTAAAACAGGACCCAAGCATCGATATAAACTCAAGCTTTAACAGAAATTAAAGTTCCGGCTACTTCAAGGTGAAACCGATCCATTTAGAATCGAAGGAACAGTTCACATGCTTTCTGAAACATCAAGATATAGAGCCAACATATGTCTTAAACAAGAGCAACAATATAGAGTATATTTAGATTTCAAGAATGAAACAACTTCCAATAAAAGCTCAAACAAAATGATACCTCATGAGGTGCTAAACCCAGCCACCAAAACAAGTTACAAGACTTGTTGAATTATATAAATCTTCTCATAACATGTATTTTAAGCAAGGAAGAGTCATAAGAAGCCGAAACCGAGCCCCCAAACATGCATGAAAGGCCAAATAATCTCTCCAATATCTCATGCTAAGATCGGAAGATAAGAATAGATAAAAAACCTCATAATACATATCCAAACATGCTTGCAAGAGGAGCCAACATCAGCTCAAAGCTACATTTACAATTATTCCAACTTGTTTTTGAACAAAAAGAGAAAAGATGAGCTAGCATCGTCTCAAAGCCACATTTCAACCTTCTTATTCACAGTAATAAAAATATGTCATAGTTTCATCTCAAGCAAGCAGAGAAAAGAGTACTTATATCATGCTATATTTCCACCATTTTTAAGCAAGTAATCAAGTCCAATCCCTAGAACATGCTCATGCTTCCATCTCTAGACGCTGGAGTAACATGCCTTTCAAAAATATAAGTGCAACACTAAGCTAACATGCCACATTATCCATTGCACCAAGCTAACAGAGACTCGGCAGAGAGCAAAACCGAAAAGAGGACAGGCGCAAAAGGGTAAAAGTACCTCCTCGAAGCAAAAAAGAAAATAACACAGGAACTTTAAAGGCACCCCCCAACTTCAATTCCTCTTCCAACAGCAAGAGGAAACCAATTCAAGCACCATAAAGTTAAAGAAGTGAGAAAAGAAAATGACAGAATTTTTTTTCCTTAGAGATTTTCGGCATTACTTTTTAGGTCTCCCCCAATGGGGTAAATATATCTATCAGGGAGAAGAAGAGCTCGCTTAAACTCACGCACCGCAGACCAGAGGCGAGGGAAACGGGAAAAATGGACGCTTTGCGACAAAGAGAGTAGAGAACAGAGGATGCGATCCTCGCAGAAGATAAGATCCTTGAAAATGACAAGGGGATGGGTCGTCTGCGAGATTGTCTCGTGTGTGAGAGGAACGAGCGCGGGAGCGAGACTCCAACGACACGAAGAAGTGGGCTAGGCGAAACCGAGCGAACCACGGCTAGGGCAGAGGTCCACGAGCGCGAGAGAAAGAAACGAGAGGGGAAAATGAAATTAAGTTAAGGGTTTTTAATATAAGTTATTAATTATAATAATAATAATAATAATAAAATATTATTTATTATTATAATTAATATTTAAATATATATTTTCTCCAAGACGCGCCGTCACAATGAAACGAATGTCCCTCCTAGGCAAAATCAATGTTCCGAACGCATCGGCGCAGTACGTTTTGTCATCCAGAGTCGTCCGGGCAACCTCGTCGTCGATCGGGTCAAAAACGCGTCGCGGTCCGAATCCTATCAAAATTTCAGTATGAGTTCAATCAAACAGGACGATGTAGAGGACGACGGCGTCAAATCAACGAGTACAGTCAATCTTAAAGCCGACAGTCATATAGGAATACTCTCTGAGTTCCTTCAGAGTAGCCTTACCTGCTAAGCAATAACGGTCAAAACTACTATATGAAACGTCAAGTCTAGAGAAGAAAAATTCAAAATTGCTAACGGGGAGAGCTCCTTCACTAGTTTTCTAGGAGTAGTCGACATAAAGGTCCTAAGGCTAGATCCTAGGCTTCTAAGGAGGGGAAAACTGCACATCGATCGAAAGTGGGGTAAACAATATTATATATATATATAAGAGTTTAGTTTTTTTGCTTCAATTTTGTCTTCGATCTCTTTTTCCTTGCTCGGGGTGTATTCGAGTATAGGTCAGCTATATCGTATTCCAAGGTGGTGGTTATCTCCGCATACTTCCTCCCATGTTCCCCTCCCTTCCATGCTTTTTTATATGCTGTAGCTCCCTCCCATCACCTTCTTTGCTGCTATCACCCCTTCTTATTCCCCTGACCAGCTTGCTATTGCCCTCCTTGTGTCTCTCTTCCCTTCCTTGCACCTTTCTCACTGCCGTCGCTCCCGACTCACTGCTTGCTTGCTGCCGCCACTTCCTGCACCACCCCCAGCTTGCTGCAGCCTTTCATAAGGCCTCTTGTCGCTGCTTAGCGTACTGTCATGTCATCGGGTAGCCCTTCGACTTGTACTTCCCTAGCCACTGCCACCTTCCCACCTCACCCTAGCGGGGTATTTGTATTTGTGTTGTGTTTTTTCTATTTAAAGTGTCGTTGATTGTAATCTTATTTGCTTTTGTTATTTGCTTCTCAATTGACTTTTAGGTTTACTCCAATATCATTTGGTAATAGAGCTAGCCTAACCCTAGACTTATCCTATGGTTTCTAGCATTCACAATAACACAAACATACCTTCACCACCCCCCGCCCAAAAAAAAAAAAAAAAATCTTTTATGTTCCCATTCCTATACCCTCTCCCACTTTCACTCCTACACATCTAAACCCTAACTATGCCACCAAGGAGACATGCTAGAATTTACCCGGGAAGAGATGCAACGAGATGTCTCTCTTCTTTAATAGAGGCTTGTGAAGATCGATGAAGGGACAAGAAAATTGCCCTCGATCGTGAATTAGAGAGTTGAAGAAAAGAAAGAGATGAAAATGAGAACCCCATCCATTGGGTGGGCTTTAGTGATGAGGAGATCGGCCTTGTTGCTTCGGAATTCATTACCGAAGACGACCGAAAGAGGAGGTTATGCAAAGCAAAATTAAAGTGAATCTACTGGAGTTTGGAGGGATGAATTCATATGATTTTATCGAATAAGTGCAGTCGGTTGAGAGAATATTCGAGTGCAAAGAAATGACATAAGACATGAGGGTGAATCTCGCGGCCATCAAATTGAAAAAGAGCGTTTTATTGTGGTGGGAAAATTTTCAGAGGCAAAGAAAAAGAGAAATAATAGTATTACCAAGTGGAAATAGACGAGGAAGGAGATGCAGAGGAAATACTTACCTCTTCACTGCCGTCAGAATATGGTTCTAAGGCTCCATCACCTACAGCAGAGAGACCTATTATTGGAGGAATTCAGGTCATAGTTTGACTAGTTGTGTATAGGGGTGATGTATGGTAGAAAAATATTTTTGGGTAGAAATAGGGTTCGATACTGGAGAAGTTCGGTAACCCTAGGATAGGACTCGGCTTAGGCTTGCTCGGATACTAAATGATACCGGAGTTGATCGAAACAACAATAGACAAACAAATATTCTTACTTATAAGTAAAAACACTTTTACAATGACTCACTGAAAGGAAAATAATGACAACACAACACTCACTCAACTAGGATTTTATGCCAAGGTGTTGGTGGGTGGTTATGCATGAATGGGAGGTGGCAGTTGGGACTTTGGTGGTGGCAATAGGCAAGGTTGGGGGTGGTTGGGGGGTGGGTGGGGGGGGGGTGGGTGGGGAAGCTTGCGGTATCGGTGGCGGAACAGGGCTGCCTGTTCTGGGCGGCCGGACTGTTGGATTAGAGTTGAGAAAGGGTGGCTGTTGCTGTAGTAGGATGGGCTGTTTGGGGTTGGCAACAACAAGGTGGAGAGGTGGAAAGTAAGACGACAACAACAGAGATGAGTAAAGGTGGCAGGAATTGTTGGATAGGCTGGGAAGAGGGTTTGGTGGTTGTAGAAGACAACAAAGCTGCTTACCTTGGGTGGGCTGCAGCGATTACAGTGATGGTAGCAACGGAAGGGAGGCTGCAAAGGATGGGAATGTATGGGATAAATAGTCCCGCACGAGATACAGTCGGAGAACTACCCGATCTTGGGAGCAAGTCACCGTATCGGAATGAGATATGACTCGAGCACCACCTGTTCAGGATATAGCCCTAGAAGGGAAAACATGGAAGTTGACGGTTGTCCAGACAAGAACACTAGGAAAGAACATCCTTAAAAGACGAAAACAATATATTTATAGGTTTAGGATAAATAGGAGTGAACCAAATTCCAAAATAGAAGGGAAATCCACGTAGAAGGGTCGACTGTACCTCCTGGACCGGTCCAAGCCATAATCTCCTGCTACGGTTTGTGGTACTATGGCAGGATTTGGAAACGCGTTTCGATACTGGAGCAAGGAATGCGGCAGGGTTTTCTGCGGGAAGCTCCTGTGTCAATATCTTTGAAAGATGTGTTGCTGATTGACTTCTCAAACTCCAGCAGGACATCATATACATGTGTTGCAGTTTGATTTCTTCCATTCTTTATTATAGAGTAGTAATCCAAAGTTACCGGTTCTTTTCGACATAGGTACTGATTTGCTATAGTTATGAAGTTTGAGCTTCATTTTTACAATATTTTCTCTCACTTTAAAAATTTTGAATTCTTCACTTGTATAAGGTGAATGCATGTGGAAAGGATGTGAAATTTTCAAAATGTTTTCTTATGCAAACTTCTATGAAATAAATGGCTAACAAAGTGCTAATTCTATCTTCTGTCCATAATTTCTATCTTGGCTAGAGAATAAGTTCCCAGGCATTTGGGATTGTCATTAATGGATTTCCTCTCTCAAAAAAAAATTTTGTTTTCATTACAGTCTGACAGTTCTTGATAAATTTCTCATGATACGTCACAGGTGATACTTGCCACAAATATTGCTGAATCATCAGTCACTATTCCAGGTGTTGCATTTGTCATTGACTCATGCAGATCCTTACAAGTGTTTTGGGATTCTAATAGAAAAATGGATTCTACTGAGCTTGTTTGGGTTTCAAAATCTCAGGTATTCATGGTTTTGTGTGATTTGATTTATTTCTTTGAACTCTTTTCAAATGTTTGCTAGGAATTTTTCGTAGGCTGAACAACGCAAAGGTAGAACCGGCCGAACTTGTGATGGTTCGATTTATCGTCTGGTCACAGGATCATTTTACAACCAACTGAAAGATCATGACTTTCCAGCAATTTTAAGATTATCATTGAGACAACAAGTGCTAATGATTTTTTGTGCAGAATCTAAAGTTATCAATGATCCAAAAGGTATAATTTGTTATGCTCTATTGGTTTTGAAGTTTGTCAATTTTCATTTTTTTCTGCTTACTCGGCTATTAATTGATGAAATGTTTGTCTACTCTATGTTGTAATTCTGAATATACTTAGAAATGCTAATGCCTACCTATTTGTCCATGCCTTGCATTGCACCTTCATTTTTGTATTTGCTTATTTAAAAAGTCTTTTTCATTTTTCCAAGGTGCATGATTTATGCATACATTGTCTTGTGCTACATTTTTGTGATTTTGTTGTGATATTTTTTTTCCAGTTCAACTGTTCATCTTTTGGTCACATTTGAACATTTTTGGTTCATTTATTCTATATATATTTTTATTGACAGTTCCTTATCAAAATTATCATGTAGAAGGGTATAAAATAGGTAATATGATTAGAAGGTACATAAAAAATTTACTGAAGAGGTGATATGATTTGAATTTATAAAAAGGGATTCACATAATTAATACATCCATTAGTTCTCTTTTGCATTGATTGATTAAGATTCTTAAAGCTCATATTATAGTTCTATACTATTGTAATGAAACTGAATATCTTTGATTTCTTAAAACAAAGAACGCGATGATTGAGATTGTAACAATCATTACATGCACAATGTTCGCTATTTTTTTTAGTTGATGTAATTTCCCATATGGGAAAAATGGAATTGAGCTAATTAATGCTAGTTCAATCAAACTGACTTTAATCATTTCACTATTATGAGGAGAGGTAAAAGAGGAACCATGCGACATAGAGAGTGTAGGAGAAGTAGAGACCGTTGATGCGATGGGTGGAACCAAAAGATTGAGAGTAGTGATGCATTCGACTTAAGAACTTAAGCGACGAGGCTAGGTTGAGTCATGCATGAGAATGTAAATGGGCAATCAAAATCGATGAGTGGCATGAACTATGAGGAAGCTCGAGTGACGTACAAACTAATGACCTCAAGCGAGTAGTATGTGGGCAATCAATGTACATGCAAGTGTCATGTGGGCCTATGCGAGAAATGGCATCAAAAGGGAGAGAGGGTGAGCGTGAGAATGTACGAAGTCGAGAATACGAGGTGTTCTTGTGAGTGAGTAGGGTAGTTGACCGAGCAAGGAGTAAGAGGGAGATTGTGATTAGACGGAGATAACATATAACTAGTGAATTATTAATGACAACTTAAGGCAAGGGTTTTATTTTAAATGAAGTTTTATTTGAGTTTTAGTGTAATTTTAAATATATTTGTCCACTGAGTTGTGATTGACAAAGATTTAAATTTGTATGTTGAATTATTTTGATAGAAAATGAGCGGTAGAAGAGACACCGTCATAGAAGGCATGGCCAGACAATTGAATGATAATTCCACTCTCAAACTGGGCCATAGATGTTATAAAGACCCAACTTGATATTCAAATCAATGAAGCTACCTAGATGTTGAGCTTTCTGGAAGACCTCAATGACTTGAAGATGAGTTGAATTATAGATTAATAAATAACACATTGTTGATCTTCTCACAGATAAAATATCTATAAATCTCAATGTTTTTGGTGTCATGATTCACATGATTATTTGCAATACTAATAAAAGTTTGGTTGTCACAAAACACCTTTACGAGATTAATTGTGTAGTATCCCAACTCATTTAGTAACTTTTGTATCCACATTTCTTCACAGATTCACAAAGCAAGTGCCTGATAGTCAAATTCTGCATTGTTTCTAGAGACCACTGCTTGCTTCTTGCACCTTCATGTGACAAGATTTTCTCATACTTAAGAACAATACCCATAAGTGGATTTTTTGGCTGTGAGTTCTCCGACCCAATTAGTATTAGCGTAAACCTTTATCTCCTATTGTCTAATTTGCTAAGATACCTCAATATTTAATAAATCATCTTCAGTTGTTTTTTGTTTAGATTGTTCATATGTTGACTCACAATACCAACAGAGTAAACGATATTGGGTTTAGTGCGTAAAATTTAGTTAAGTTTACCCACCTTTCTCTGGTATTTATCTTTTTCCACTGGTTTTTTATCGCCCTCTGAATATAACTTTTGTTGAAATTCATGAGTCCCAGTAGGTCTACACCCCAACATTTTTGTTACTTTTGATAGATGTTGGATGTACTTTTTTTTTGGATATCACAATTCTTATTTTTAACTTGGCTACTTCCACGCTCAAAAAATTTCTTCTTGCTCCTAGATCTTTAATTTTAAATTTAGTGACAAGAAACTCTTTAATCTTCTCGATCCCTTTTCATCACCTATCAAAATCATATCATCTACATAGACAATAAATGCAGTTTTTATAGCTCTGTGTTTGCTTTATGAATAGTGTATGATTAGTTTAGCTTTGGATATATACCCATTAGATTTCATGGTCTTGGCAAACTTGTCAAATCAAGCCATGCAGTAGCAGCGCCGACATTGGAAGCAGGTAATCCCTTACCTTTTCTCCTTCCTTCACTAATACGAACTCGTCGACATCATCGTCTTCATCTTCATCTCACTATCACTTGCCCTAAACACATGTAATTTCCTTCTCCTTAGCTTATTTCTTGCATGCACTTTGGCTAAGTTTTTCGTTGCCTCCTTTTCTTTATTATCTTTTTCTTTTCTTCACTCCGCCTCTTCCTTTCTTTGCTCTCGACTTTTGTATTGTCATTTTTCCATTTGTTCAAGTCGGTCGCTTGGCTTTTATCACAGAACCATCAATATAGTGTTCGAACCGATCAATCCACTCAACCCATCCCTTAGATAAAAATTTTAATTTTAAATAGTTATTATTATTGTTTTGTACAATTATAATAATCTCCCATCCTTATAAAAATTTCGTGATCGAAATTCATGAACATCACATCAGCTAATTATTATGTAGATGAAATATAAAGTGATAATAAAATTCTATTTCTTGTTAAGTCATAATTAAAGCATATGAGATAAATTCAACATTTAACGTTGTTCAACTAAACAATCCCCACACATTTAAAATATGATAACTGGAACAATACTCAAATAACATAGAATACAACACTAATCAAACTCTTCTAGCATCCACATTAGTAGCAAGATGTTCTTCGAGGTCATATTGAGTTAGGGAATAGACTTTTGGTTGAATGTTATGTCTTGATTGCTCTTTAGGAGTCAATACTATCAGTTTCTGTCATTCACTGCTGATCACTTTTAGAAGTAGATCCCTCCTAAAAATTTCTCTAAGTTGAATTCTTTTTTGAGTTAGCATTTGATGTGGATCTCTGATCAGAATTTGGGCAATTCCTTATCTGATTTCCAAACTGTTTGTATAAATAAACATTCATCATGATGCGGATCTCCTTCAAACTAAAGACATTCATCATGATGTTGCTTCCCACATTTAATACATAGCTCTATTTTGTTGTCGTGAGTCTGACTAATAACTATCATCATAAGAATTTATCTTCCTGTTAGACTCTCGAGAATAAACCGTTGTTGTCACTTCTTCCAAACTCTTCCTCTTTGTATGACCTTACCCTTCTTAGGCTGCTGAAAATAAATTTCCACCCTCCTAGATCTCTTCACTAACATTGAATAGCCTTCATTCCCAACTGGTAGTAGTGCATGCTTGATAGAATTCTTCAGTCCAGAAAGAAACTTGTGGCATTTCTCCTTTGCATTTGGAATGAGCTGTGGTGCATGTCTTGAAAGCATATTAATTTTGGCTTTGTACTACATAACTGATCGAACTCCCTGCACCAACATAATAAATTTATATTGCATTTATCTCTTTCCTGACAGTGGTACAAACCAATCTTCGAAAGTTCTCATGAACTCATCTCATTGTAACAAGGGGTTAGGTCAACCACGAAATTTTTTTTTTAATTAACATTGCCACCATCTCTTAGATTTCTCTCTCAAAGGTAAATTTGAAAAATGTAACTCTTCTCTCTCATGGAGAAGACAACATTTCTATAATCTTCCCCACTCTCAATAGCCAGTTCTCAGCACCTGTTGGACTTCCTCTTCTAAAAAAGGCCGGCGGCCTCATATTATGGAAGAGCTTGAAGTAATTATCCGTCGGTGCTCATCTATTGGTAGTAGATCGAGATTGAGAATTATTAATCATCTGCGTTTAAGGCTGTAATCGAATTGAGTCGATTTCAGTATATCATAGTTTGGACTTGGCTTGATATAATTATAAGTTGTTCATGTTCGACTTCAACTTATGTCGAGCTTTCATATATTGTTCTAGTTTGATTTATTTAATCTTTTCAATATTTGTATTTGATTTGTTTATGACAAGTGAACGAGTATTTAAACAAACTAAAAATTCAAATGAGTATTTAGATTTTCATACACAAAATTTAATAAATAATTTTACAAATTTGACCGCAGCTAGTAATTAATTGATTATGAACTCTTAACTCTACAGTGTCTCCCATCTCGTTTCTTTGCATATTGCTCTAAATCCCTCACTTGAGGGATATTTACTATCTGTTTGAGGTAGCTGCAGTTTATTGAATAATCTACTGATAAACTGATTAAAAATAATCTGCTGATAAGCTATGTGTGTTGACTATTAAAAATTTTTATTTTTTTGGAAAAGCCAGACCGCTACCAGAAAGTTGTCATCACATTTAGATAGGTGCGGTGTGAAAATGTTGTTTTCAACGTTTTGAAAACGCATAAGCTGCCAAAACCGCACCAAATAAATTGCCCCAAACGGGGCACAAATATGTCAGGTGTGTTTTTAAAACGCCACTGCACCAAATAAGCTGCCCCAAACGGACCCTTAGTAGAATGATTTGTGTAGAATTTAAGCTTGATTAAATCTAAATACTTATCAAACAACTAAAAATGATAACTTTAAGATCTGCACAAACTTAATATTGAGTAATTGTATATCATATATGATATGAGTTATCATTTAGCTATCAACAAACGAGTTAATAGTTTAGTTCATTAAATTTTATTTAAATAATATATCATATATGATACGAGATATTATCGAGCTTAATAACGAGTATTTAACAAGTTAT